TTACCGCTTTTAAACCACCCCTCTTATTTATTCCCCACATTTCCTTTCTTTTTTTATTTTTATTTACCTTTCTTATTTTTTGTATTACTACAGATCCAAATATTTTCGGCGCCAACGTTGTATGTCTTCTCTTTCGATAAGCGCACTACAATGAGATTTTTTGACATAAACAAATAGGAGTTCTTTCATTAATATTTAAAATGAGGAACTTTTGAAGTTTGGTAAAGTGTCGTCGTCATTTATGGCCATTAATATTTTTTTAACTGTAGGCACTTCACGATTCAACGAAAAGCCATGTAATTTTCAACAAATTGCATTTTTATCGACATTATCCACTTTTTGAAGTATTGTATATCTCATTTTTTTCTTATAGGGAGATGAAACTGTACCTTATTATTTATATTTGACCAAAGTTGTTTGTATGGTACTTTATCAAATACCACTTAACTTAGAAATTTCGACAAGCATCTGGCTATAGGCCAATCGGAGGCTGTCTGGGTTTTGAAGTTGTTTTCTGATTTTGTCTTTGTACAGATTTATAATGATCTACTTTTGAGCAGTACCAACACACTAAAGAAAATAATATATTTATTTAAAAATTAAGAATTCGCAATAGAAAAATATTCATACAAACACTTACTTTTCCACGAAGATTTTTTCGGAAGGAGAAATCTCAACGAGGTCCTTGTTGTATTTAGTAGTCTAAGTACTAACTAAAATAGTAAACACTAAAACAAGCAAAAATGAAAAACTTGGCTTATTTGTGCAAAAACATATAAACGTAAACACGTACAACAATACAGTACACGCTGTATACACAACATGACGACGGCGGCGGCGGCGGTGGTAGCCGTCGTTTAGCGTTGGTGGTGTAGACGATGGCGGCGGCGGCCAGCACTCACGCAAATTTAGTGGTGGAAATATGCGAGAACGGACGAAATTTGGTCACCACCCAGTTGCGTTCTCTCGGTGGAACGATTAGACAACTTTACCAAAAATGGTTCTATCACTATGTATGGGTGAAGAGCTACAAATTCTAAATATGTATGCATATGTTTATAGGATAAATGTGATTATAAATTCGAACAAAGCGAGAACATTTTTTTTAGAGTTGGCAAATTAATGTTTTAAGCCTCCCACGATTTATCTTTCACAAGGGCCCTGTACATTATCCTTTTATTTTGTATTCTGTTTTCTCGTTTTCGATACGATTCAAATGCCAGAAAAACATATTAATTATATTAGCTTAATAATAGATAACTAGAGCTCGAATTTCTCATTCATACGTAAATAGGTACGTATTTTTTCTGTGACTTGAACAATTTAAATCAAAATCAGAATGAATACAATTTAATTTCATAATAATTTCAATTCAAGTTTTTTATACTATAGTATAGTGTTTGATAATAATATATTATCAGACGCGCACAGTGTCCTCTTGAATGCTGCCGGTTGAATTTTCCGTGTCCAAATTGTAAAATTTAAAAAATTGAGTATAAAAAATTAAACCGTATATTAACGTATGTCTACACCAGAAAAATGTTGTCTGATCCATATCCGTGACTTCACGTTCTGTGTTATCAGCACTATAATAATATATATATATATATAAATAATTATTATAATCATTTTTTTATCTAATTATTATTAATTTGTTATAAATTTAAAGTTTAAATGTGAATTTTGTGATTCGCAGTATAATTCTGTATCCGGGCACAATAGACAACTTTGAATTAAACATAAATATATGCTAAACAAAACATATATTTTTGTAATAACTGTAAGGATTCATTTGATACATTTCGATTCAAGGTGCTATGCCTAATACATAACCGCCCATACAGGAGCAAGATGCTGTACCTAATACATGGCCGCCCGAATTGTCCACCTCTTTATCGACATATATTTTTCCCCACCCCCTTTTTTCCCAAAATATTTATACTTAGACTGCATATTTTTCCCCCACACCTCTTGCTCAAAGAGGAAACTGTCTCTAGAGTGAAGATAACACGTAAGGATCTAGTAAACACCCCTGAATTTATCGAAATCGAATCGTTTTTCTCCTGCAAAATTGTATGGTACAATACCAAAGATCTCGATAATATCTACAACTACAGACAATTTCTCCATTCAATCAAACCCGTACTTATAGACCTACCCAAAACAATTGTACAAGAAAACCCGATTAAATTCAATCTGAAACTCGAGTCGACGTACTATAAACCGTGAGTAGAAAATTCCGCCGTGAATAGAGCGTTCAAGACCTCAGCCAGACCGATTTTCCCCAATAGCGATTTAGAAGACATAGTAGAACAAAAATTCACGAAATTACTTTCCGAACAGGATATTTATCAGGGACGAGGAAGTGGGTTCTCCCTACAAACGATAGACGGCCTTTTATTAGGAGTGTATAAATTCCAGCCGATGGGCAGATCGTCTACCGAGCGCTATCTACCGACATCGCAAACAAACGGGCTATCAACAACCCACATAATGTGGACAAAGAGTGTTTTAGGATGGCGATTTTGGCGAAACACGTTACTGTGAATAACAAAATGCGAGTTGGTGTGAATTATTCCGTACATGAAAATTAATACGATTTTAGCGGATTATCTTTCCCGACGCCACTAACGGAAATAAGAAAATTGGAAAAAAATTATTAGAACGTAACCGTAAATTTTTATGGACTGAAGAAATAAAAAAAAAAAAAAAATGGTACATACCATTTTACCGCTTAAAGTAGTCGACAATGAGAAGACGGACCATTTCGACCTCCTATTAATAACAGAAGAAAAATTACAGCACTATACCTACATCTCTAATTTTTCCCGTCTAGCGCGATCACAAAAGACATTACACAACAGAGAAGTAATTTTTTGTAAACGTTGTTTCACGTCGTTCGACCACCAGAAACTTAAAAATAAATTGAGCGGACAGGAGGCACTCGATCAACATAAATTGATATGCGGCGAACTTAAACTTATATTACCCGTCATACCCGTACCCGGTACGACTCTGAAAGTCGAAGCGTGGGGAAAAACGTCACCACACCATATCATCATATACGCTGATTTCGAGGCGATTTTAGAAGACGGTCGAGAAGAAAAGAAGCAGTACTAACGTAATCCAGAACCATTAAGCGATGTCATGCGGGATTTACGTGAAGGTGGAAGACGACGTATCTACAGAATTATTGGAAGAATTAGATATACCTACCGAGCCGATTATTTACAGAAGGACAGAAGACGAACTGGACGTGGCGAAACATTTTGTAGAGCAGATTTTGGAGTTGAGTTTACGTGTGGAGAAATTATTGAAGACTAATAAACCAATTATCATGACTGCAGAGGATGTTCAGAGTCATGTTAATATTGTAATTTGTGCAACGGCGGTTTTTCTGCCGCAAACCCGAAAGTTGCCGACCATAACCACCTATCGGGCAAATTTAGGCAAACGCTGTGTAATACTTGTAATTTGAAATTGCAAGTGCCCAAATTTATACTGTGCTTCTTCCATAATCTAAGTAACTACAACTCGCATTTCATCGTCACAGAGCTGGGGTACGATGCGCAGACAATTTCCGTCATACCTAACAGCGAAGAAAAATGTATTTCGTTCTCTAAGTACGTGAACAATACCTAACTGTACGATTTATCGATACAAATAGATTTATGACGTCAAGTCTCGCGTCTCTCGCCTCATACTTCAACACAGTTGAATTCGAGAAGTTTTAGGAGACGAAAAAAATATTTAAAACAGAAGATATGCCCTTGGTGACGAGGAAGGGTGTATATCCATACGAGTAGACAGAGAGTTGGGAAAAGTTGGAAGAAGACCGAGGAAGGAGGACTTTTACAGCACGCTAACGGAGAATAACATCGACAACGACGAATATCGGCATGTGAAAACAGTATGGGACCACTTTGATTGAAGGACGTTAGGGGAGTACAACGACTTTTATTTGAAAATTGACGTGTTGTTGTTGGCCGACGTATTTGAAAATTGCCGAGATATTTGTGTGACGACCTACAACCTCGACCCGACATACTATTATACGGCACTCGGATTCAGCTTCGACTGCATGCTGAAGTACACAATTTATATCAATTATATCACAAAGATAAGTCTGGAACTTCTAACGGATTACGATATGCTGCTGATGTTTGAAAGAGGTAAAAACTTGTATATTTTACATAACAATTATAATATTAATCAAAAAATTATTTTTGTTTTTTAAGGATACGCGGTGGATTGGTGCAGGCGAGTAAACGATACGAGAAGGCAAACAATTATCCTGTGGAAGATTAAGACAAGACAAAAGAAAATTCATGGATTATATACCAGGATTGTAAGTATACATATTATTTAAAACAAATATATATCAGTCACATAATTTTTTACTGTTTGTTTTAGGTAACAATTTGTACGGGTGAGGAATGTCGCAGTACATGCCCCACGGCGGCTTCAAGTGGATGGAGCCTACATTAAATGGTTTAGAGGACTTAGACGATACTTCGCCTATTGGACGGGTATACGAAGTGGACATAGAGTATCCAGAAAATGTACACGAGGACCACAATGACCTTTCTTTCTTTCCAAATAACGAAGTTCCACCTGGTTCCAAGATGAAGAAACTGATGGCGACGTTGAAGGAGAAAAATAATTGCATTATACACTACAGAAATTTGAAGCAGGCGACAGCGAACAGACTAATTGTAAAAAAAGGTAAACATTTTTATTTTTTCACTTTATTTATTTTTTTTTTTTTTTTTTGTATCATTTATGTTACAGGTACAAAGATTTATGCAGTTAAATCAGTCACCGTGGTTGAAAAAAGATATTTCGTTTTTGAAATATGTGAGCAACACCTTCTCCGTCCGGTTTATTGATATGTTCCGATACATGCCGGTTCATGACGTCGAGTCTCGAGTCTCTTGCATCGGACTTAATCACCACGAAATACGAAAAGTCCCATGAAACACGGAAAAAATTTAACAACGAAGATATACCATTAGTGACGAGGAAGATTATGTACCCATGCGAGTACACGGACAGTTGGGGAAAATTGGAAGAAGATACATTGCCGGAGACAGAAGACTTCTACAGTACGCTGAAAGAAGAGAATGTCGAGGACGATGAATACGGAAAGTTTGGGACCATTTTTGATGCAGGACAGGACGTTGGGATAGTACAGCGACTTGTATTTGAAGATTGATATGTTATTTTTGGCGAACGTATTTTAAAATTTCCGAGATATATGTATGACAACCTACAACCTCGACCCGACATACTATTTTACGGCACCCGGATTCAGTTTCGACTGCAGGCTGAAGTACACAAAGATAAGTCTGGAACTTCTAACGGACTACGATATGCTGCTGATGTTTGAAAGAGGTAAACAATTTTATATTTTTTTACATAACAATAAAAATATTAATCGAGAAATTATTTTTTCAGGGATACACGGCGGTCTCGTACAGGCGAGTATCCGGTACGCGAAGGCGAACAATATAATGGTGGAAGACTACGACAAAACAAAAGAACATTCGTGGATTATATAATAGGATTATAAGTATAAATATTTAAAAAATATATAAATATCAGTCTCATATTTATAATTTTTTGTATTCTGTTTATTTTAGGTAACAATTTGTACGGGTGGGCTATGTCGCAGTGCATTTGAACGAGACATCGGATATCGCCCGGGTATACGAGGTAGACATTGAGTACCTAGAACATCTACACGAGGACCACAATGACTTTCCTTTCCTTCCAAATAACGGAGTGCCGCCCGATTCCAAGGTGAAGAAACTGATGGTGAACAGGCTGATTGTAAAAAAGGTAAACATTTTTATTTTATTTTTCATTTTATTTATTATATTTTTTGTATTATTAATGTTACAGGTACATAGAGTTATGCAGTTCAATCAGTTACCGTGGTTGAAAAAATATATTTATTTGAATACCGATATGAGGAAGAAGGCAGCTAATAATTTTGAAAAAGATTTCTACAAACTGATGAACAATACAATATTTAGTAAGTAATTTCTATTATTATAAGAACTTATATCTTATTATATTATTATGATTTTCAAGGTATGACGATTGAATCTATGAGACGGAGGATTAATATAGAGTTGGTGTCTAATGAACAAAGAGTGCAAAAATTAATTAACAGAATAACGTTTAAATATTGTACGACTTACAACGAAAATCTATGTGCTATATCACTGGAGAACAAAATAATAATTTCTGCAATTCTATCTATATTGGATTTGCCGTATTGGACATCTCAAAAAATAAAAATGTATGACTACCACTATAACGTCATGAGGAAGCATTTCAAAGACACCATCAGCTTGTTGTACACCAATACAAGTAAATTATTTTTTTTTTTTTTTTCTTATACGTATTATATTGTTTTTATTATTGTTTTTCAGATTCGTTAGTGTATCATATCAAGACTAAAGATTTTGACTTAGACCTGCGAAGTAAACCTGGACTTTTGGAGTGTACAGACACGGTCAATCGACCGAAAGATCACCAATGCTACGTTAAAGAGAGAAAGAAGGTACCTGGTCTGTTCTCTGAAGAGTCTGATGGAAGAACAATAACCGAGTTTTGTGCGCTGCGGGCAAAATCTTATGCGTACAAGATAAATGGAGTGAAGAAGATCAAGGCAAAAGGAATCCGAGGACATGTTGTTAAAAATCATATGACATTTAACGACCATAACAAGTGTTTGTTCGGTGTTAGAGATCTGAACGTACATAGGGAGAATGTTTCCATTTGGTGGTTCCTCCACCAACTCAAAACCATATTCACAAACAAGCTGGCCTACAACAAATATGATGATAAGAGGATAACTATGAGAGATACACACAATGGCATATAGACACTACCAACTACTATAAGACAGCAAATAAAAATGTATTTACCTACTTCTAAAAATTATAAAATAAAAATATAAATATTGTATACATGCATAAAAATTATATACCTAACTGTAAAATAAAAAAAAAAACGATTTGATTAAATGCATAAAATTAATATTTTAATTAATTAGTGAGTCATGTATTAATACGATTATGAAAATAAGTCTAATAATTAAATGTCAATAAACAAAATAACGATCACTAGTATCCCTTATAAGAGGCTGGTTTTAAAACTGTACACATATTTAAATTAAGTATCCTAATAAACATACTAATCGATGTAGGTACAATCTATGCAAGTTTCGTTAAAATAAAAAAATACGTCCCAACTTCCTTAGATAATAGACTGAATACAATTCTGATAAAAAATTTGGATTAAGCGCCTTTAAAATAATTATAATTAAATTGTAGTAAAATGTTTTAAATTCATATTTAAGAGATATTAATATTAATTAATAAAAGCTAAATTAAAATTCACATAACACTAGGAAAAAAAAAACTCCCGGAAAATGTTTTCTTTACACATTGTATTATTTTGATTGGTGCTTTATTGTTAGATAAAAATTAAGAACTTATAATAATAATAAAAAATTTAGCGTGCGTCTAAATTAAATATGTGATAAAAATATGTCATCTATCTAGTTCTCAAATCATATTTTTCACAATAATTATTATTACCTTTTGATATATTAATGGATATAACTTTATTATTTGTGTAGAGTGCAATACGCTAATAACCATAGCGTAACCAAATTTTTGAGGTCACTATATCCCCCTTCGGAAAAAAATTTAATTATAACAAAATTATGAGAGCTACACAGTCAGTACACTAATATAACTAAATTTTTGCTTTAAAATAAATATAATTTATAATGCAATAAATTAATCAGAAAAATAAAATAAAATAATATTTACAATAACTTAATTTTTCTTATACTTTATAAAATGTATTTCAAGTAATTTGTACAATATATACACTATGTTACAATCACAGTTAATTACGTGTTTACATTATACAGAGTGATCAAATATCACCATGTATAATCAAAAACAAATAATCTAATTTCTTGTCAGCAGCAGGTTATTAAAACGACAATGTATAAATAACACAGTGTTAAGAAGGAACGAAGCTTGAAACGCGTTTCTTTCCAAACATAAGAACGAAGAACGGGAAAGAATTCCTATTTATGTGGAACGCGAACACAAATTTCCGTTCTTTCTTTTAGGAAAAAAAAATGAAAATAAATAAAAAAAATTAAATTTATTGATAATATTGTTTAGATATTGTTTAGTGTTGGTATCATTTCGTCAGTTACTAATTTAGTTATATTAAGAGCTTGCATGTATTCTGATCAGTGACATCTATTACTTAAAATAATAATGTAAGACTAAGTATCAATGTTTACATTGGTTCAACTCGATGGTTTTGACCTTGCATTACGCAAAACAACAGTTCTCCGTTCAGTACTATTGAGTTATTCGTTGTATACAGACAATTATTATGGAACGCTCAAAGTTGCATTTTCGACACTTATTACTTTTAATGTTTGATTTGAAAAAATCTGCTGCCAAAACCTACCAAACACTTTTAAAAGCTTATGGTGATGCTGCTTCATCATATCCCAAGTATCGATTCTGGTTTCAAAGATTTAAAAATGGTAATTTTAATGTGAACGACAAAGAACGCGGACCAAAAAAGTTTGAAGACGGTGAACTGCAAGCTCTATTGGACGAAAACTCAGCTCAAACTTTAAAGGAACTTTCAAACAACTTAGAAGTTTATGAATCAACTGTTTCAAGACGTTTGTATCCGATGGGAAAGATCCAAAAGGAGGGTAAATGGCTACCACACGAATTGTTCGAAAATGCCATTTCGAACCGATTCAACATCGTGGTTTCATTGCTTGCCAGGCAAAAAAAAAAGGTTTTTTGTAGCGTATTGTGACTGGGGTTGAAAATTGGATTTATTACAATAATCCCAAGTGCAAAAAGTCATGGGTTAATCCAGGAGAACCATCCACATCGACACCGAAACGTAATATCCATGGGCATAAAGTCTTGCTTTGCATATGGTGGGATCAGCAAAGTATAGTATATTACGAGCTGCTCAAACCAAGTGAAACAGTTACTGCAGATGTGTATCGATGACAACTGAACAAATTAAACGGTTGTTTGTTGCAAAAAAGAACTGCAATATCAACTAATAAACACAAAGTCATTTTCTTGCATGACAAGGCTCGACCACACGTTGCAAAAGTGGTAAAAGATACACTGTTACAGCTAGAATGGGAAGTTTTGCCGTATCCAGCGTACTCACCAGACATTGCACCTTCTAATTACCACCTGCTCAGATCGATGCAACATGGATTGGTTGGCACATGATTCCGAAATGCTAAATAAGTGCAAAAATGAGTCGATGATTGGATTGTGAGAAAACCAAAATCCTTTTTTTGAAATGGCATCGCCATGTCGCCAGTAAGATGGAAAAAAGTTGTGCAAAATGGTCGAAAATATTTTGATTAAGGTAAACAAAACCTATTTTTAGTAGTAAATGTTTTTTCAAGAAAAATATTGAATACATGCAAGCAGATAATATATGATCATGATGTAAACGGTATCTCGGTGATAAAGGTAAAATGGTCAAATGGTAACAAACAATATAATTTATCTGATAATGATAAACATTATTTAAAGGCCGGGTAATAATTTTTTTGTGTCTGTTTAATAAATTATTATATTTTGAATGTTGAGTGTAAATTAATGGTGAATTTTTTTTTCAATTTATTTATTTATTAGGATTTTAAACATGTAGATTCTAAGAAGTAAAAATAGTTTCCAATTTTAGTTATCCTATCTTATCAACGTCCCACCAACTATGTACTATTAATATATTATTATTATTTATTATATATATAACTATTCAACAGTAGCTGCACCCGTCCCCAGTAATGTTATACTAATCCTATTATTCTTACTTCCTATGTTTTTGTTAACAAACCAAATAAAACATAATTATAGTTATTTCAAACATAAGTAAATTAAAGCAATATAATAGTAACAACATTATCATTAGGCAAAATATTTATGAGATTAAAAATAAATTATGTTGGATAAGGAAAAAAATACAAAATTATAATGTAACTAGTCCTATTCACCCATTAAAGCAGGCCAAACAATTCTGTCTTATTAATACTTAATCACAGCTAGAGGGCAAAGTATAATGGCCTATTGAGGCCCAACTATTTAAGGTTCTCCAATGTCTTTCCATTTATCATTAATACTAGTTGTCCATGTTCGATAATTGCACAAAATATCCTTTCTACTTGCCGAGCAGTGGTGCTATTACTAGTGAAATTACCTGAAGGTGGTATTTGATCTTCTTCATCCTCAGAATCTTTGTGTACTTCGGTTTCTTCATCTTTGGTATCTTTGTCTACTTCAGTTTCTGCATCTTTGATATCTTGGTCTTCTTCAGTTTCTATATTTTCTGTGTCTTGGTTTTCTTCAGTTTCTTCATTTTCTATTTCCACTTCATCTTCTATTTTATGATAAACAAGCACCTTTTCTTCAAAATTTATAATTTTTGTGTACATCTGAAAAGAAAAATAAATGTTAAATTCCACTATTATGATGAAATTATGACAAAAAAAAAATGCCAACACGAAATTATAAATTTTTTAAATTTTAACATTCATAAGATGTATACCTAGATACGAGGATGGACAAGTTAATAGTATTTTTTTATACAATTAAGTTAAGTTAAATATCATTTTTTTTTTTTTTTTTTTTTTTTNTTAATAATTTAGATTAATTTAAAAAAAAAGCTGGCCTAGAATAATGGGGATGGGTGTAGCCACTGTTGGAGGTGAAAAGTTGGGAAGAAAGGATACAGAAAGAGATTTAATGTAAGCATATATCTGTAAGCAACCATAAACCAATGTTAATGAAAAACGATCCAGAGCGTAGATCAATCGATAGTGATACTTTTTCAAAAATAAATATGTTATATTATGATGAAATAATTAAATAGCCCAAATGACCTAAGTTTACAAACAGAAGAGTAGCCAATGAATCACGGTAATTAGAAGAATTATAGGAAAAAACCGATTCGATTTTACAATCGAGTTTTTTTAAGAATAAAACCAATCTTTGTTAATTAAAAAAAAATAAAACACATCATAGTAAAACTAATAGATCCCTCGCTACACTCCGAATCTAAAGTAACTGCATATGGTTAAATATAAATGTATAATTAATAATCATTATTAGTTTATAACCCATATATTATCAATATAAACTCTTAATTTCATATTAATACTTATGAATAAAATATAAATTATAAGTACACTATATTACCTATACTAGTACCTATATCTTAGAGGTTTTATATTTTAGAGTGTTTGTATTTTTCATGTTTTTTTTAAAAACTTTATATCCTTCGACCTAATTATTATATTATACTTTGATTGTACCGATATGCCGATAAATGCTCTATTACATTCAAATTGTCCATGACTAGAAAAATGATTACTTTAAAGTAAATTGTTTGTATAATAAAATGCATAATTTATTTTTTAAAAGTCACTTTGTGATTATCATTTTTATATTGATAGAAAATCGTTTCAATAAGTTAGAGCTTTTCAATTATTGTTCTATTCCACCTTGAAACCGAGTAACAACAAAATTAGTAATCTCCCAGCTTACTCTTAGGTCGTAAATAATAATAAAATTTCAGATTTAGAATTCGAAAGATTATTCAAACTGTAGGCATATACATATTTTAAAAAGGTGTTACCCATTTGCACCAAAAAAAATATACTTTTTTCCGATTGTCCATTTGCGCCAAATTTACCTGCGTAAACATTTTACATTAACAACTTGGTTAATTCATATATTTTAAATACGTTGTGTCTGTAACGTATAATAAAGTTTTTTTTAAAAGTCTATAGATTTTAAAACTTTATATATTATTGCATAGAAAGATTAAAAACAAGTTTTATATCAGTTTTATTATGTTGTACGATGTTGGTCAAAAGATCGATCGCAGTGTGATTTTATCACACATTCGTTTCGCTACACTACATAATATTTTCATCTGGATAAATAGTTACGTTGTAGTGTTGTACTCAATAATATTCTCTAATTTGTTAATTTGAAATATAAATTATAATAATGAAGATCACGACAAGCACAATAGGGGAAAAAATGATTGTAAAAAATGGCCATAAGTATATTTTGACGTATACGTCTTCTTAAAATGTTGAATAATGGCGTTGTTCACATAAAATATGCCCAACAAAAATATTAATTCAAAATGGCACCATTATTAAAAACCATGGTATGTTGCAAACATTTATTTTTATTTTAATAAATTAATGTGTAAAATGTAGTTACAAGATCACCGATAATTTACCTACCTAATATATAAAACCAATTAAATGTTATCGCAATATTGAAATTTTATTTTATTTTTTATTTCGTATTAATCCGATAATAATAACAAAACTCACTCCAGTTATACGTTGTCAAATAATAAATTATTTTAATTTTATTTCTATAGATGCGCATAATTACGAGCAATGTATAACTATTTCAAAACAAAATGTAAGTGCGCAATGCAAGCGTGTGGCTGTCGAAAACGTAAGTATTCGCCATAGGAAAATATTTTAAACTGAAATAAATAACCACATGAGTAATTCAGATTTTACTATACCTGATGTATCCGCTATACTTTTATCATGCTCGTGAAAAATCTCCTCCTTCAAAAGTAATACAAAAAATAGGAAAAATAAAAAGGGCAACAAGTAAGAGGAGTTAAAAGAGGTTTAAACGGGGGAAAGAATAAAGAGAGCCGTGGTAGGGAGATAATAA